CCTTGCTGTGGGGTGGGAGCAGGAAGGGCTGTTTGAGGATACATAAACCATAACGCTGAACAACCAGACAGCGCTCAGTCAGCCAAAGGCTATTTCAGAGAGACCAGTGCACGAGCTCAGGAACCAGAGGGTTAACACAGATCCTATTTTATTTTTTATTTTCTTATTCAGTTTCCATACTGGGACAGCTTTTATGAGTTTCCGACAATGGAACATAGAAACATTGAAACTTAGATTTGTGAAATGAAAACAATCAGCATTGCCACTGTCCAAGAATAGCCATTGGAGAAGATGTCATTAGATACGACAAAAGGCCTCCCATAGTTAAAGGTTCACCTAGGTACCATGACTAAGTTTTCTCTGAAAATAAGCATCCAAACCACAAAACCCAAATCCCCTGCCGTAGAGTCGATTCTGATTCATAGCGACCATATAAGACAAAGTAGAACTCTCCTCGTGGGCTTGGGAGGCTGTAAACCTTCACAGGAGCAGCCTGCCTCATCTTTGGTCTCAGGGAATGGCTGCTGGGTTCTTACTGCTGCTCTTGCAGTTAGCAGCTCAAGACTTAACCCCCCAGATCACTAGTCCCAGTTGTTGTTGTTAGTGGTCATTGATTTATGGTGATTTATGGTGACCTCTGTACACAACAGAATGGCACTGTTGTGATCCATAGATTTTTTTATTGGCTGATTCTTGAAGTAGATCACTAAACCTTACATCTTAATTTGTCTTGAGCTGGATGTTCTGCTGACATCCATTCAGTGCCATGCGAGCTTTCCCTGACAGAGGAGTGGTGGCTCTACTTTATGTTCACTGCCCAGGAATAAAACCCGGCGCTCCTGCATAGAAGGAAAGAGGTCTACCACTGAACGGCCTTTGCCCTCAAACAGCTCAGGGCAGTTAGTTTTGTGTCAACTTGAGTTTCGATGGAAATGTAGGGGCAGAATGCTACCTGTCAATAAGATCACAGCCTGATGCTACTTCCTGGGGGTGGGGGTGGGGGGTATGCCTTTTTATAAGGGAGAAACTGGGAACATAGCTCTTTCTCTTTCACTCTCTCTGCCCATTCACCTACCTGTTTGTTGGGACTCTGCCTGCCTCCCAGGGAGACCGCATGTGGGCATCCTGAGAGTTATTTGTGCCCTGGCATGTGTCCACCAACTTGGGATCACATGACTCCACACCCATCAGCCTCTGATCTTCCTGCATCCTACTTCAACTTCCTGTGCCCTCAGCCCGAGACCCCATGAGTCTGAAGAGGGCCCTGGCTTGCACCAGACTTGTGGACGGGAGTTGGAGTGGGTGGGGACGCCTTCTTGAATTAAGATGCCTTCTTGATATAAAGCTCTTTCCTGTACACATCTGAGTGCCACTGGTTTTGTTTCTCTGGACGACTCAGCCTAACACACAGCCCGATAGAGATCAAATGAAGTCATTGAGTGAAAGACGAATGATGACCATTGGCCTAATTTGGGAAATGGTCTTTGAAATAGGTTACCTACCTGGGGAGCAAGTTTCATTCCTTGGGGCTTTACAGTGACAGGATTCATTGGGGTGAGCTCCATCCCAGGCAAAAGGTCATAGAGCTTATCTTCTCTCTTGTCTCCTTTGACCTGGTAGCCACGACCCAGGCCTGTGTATGCCAAATAGCCACGGCCGCCCAGGCCTCGGACTCCCGCAGCCCCTACAGGTACATTCATGTAAATTTCTAGGAATGTAAGAACGATTGAACTGAATCAAACCACCAGAAAATCACCCGGAATCTTACTGTAATGGAAAAGTTAGCCCCCGCCACATTGATTATTGTCTTGAAGATGGGGAGAAAACTCTAGGATTCTACATAATGAAACTCAATATAAAGTGGGGTTCACCATAGGTATCCTTTAAAATTTCTTTTAAACCCATTCTCTGTGGAGAAAGCAACACCATCAAAATTATGGATACATGCATGAGCAAGTACAATTTGGGTACAGTAAAAAATTTCGCAATTTTCCCCTTCCCTTAGCCTTCTGTTGATGTCTTACTATAGGCTAAATAAAGGTTGGGAAGGTGTTTATGAAATAAAACATCCCAATGTAATAAGACCACAGGTATTAAAAGCAGTCTTGCATAAACGAAGCCATTGACCAGAATATCAGACATGAATTTCAGCTTCTCTAAAACTCCCACCCCCTCAGTTTATTCAGTGCACCATTCTCTCTTAGGGTCTGTCAGTGCGAGGCTTAAGCTCCATTGAGTTTCATGCATAGATTCCTTTTGATTTTTGTTTTGCCACATTGCTAGTTTGATTTCCTATGTGTGACATAAAGAGATAAGAAAAATTAGATTGATTGCCCTCCATTCATGAATATCATTCGTGGATTCCTTTCTTGTGATAAGAAATATATACATATATAGTTTTCCCCTTGTAGTAGGGTTGTCCCCCCCTCTGCCCCACCCCCCACATTACAACTGGTTGACCACTTATATTTAATGTGTAGATTCCTTAAGAATGTGGTTTTTAAGTTATAAATGAATAATAGTTTCATAACCTAATTTGCCACCATACAGAAAACTGCCCTGAAGTAAATTCTGATTCCTTTTTACATCATTACAATTTTGGGAAGAGCAATTATACTAAGAATATGACATTTTTGGTTCTGAATAGAGCCCCTAGAATACCCAAAGCGACTTTCTTGAAAAACAAAAAAACCTACAGTATGGCAAGTATTTCTATAGTATTCTGGTACCCCTGTGATTGGATTTAGGACCAAGAGTAGGTTTAAATGCACATTGTCTTTGTTGACCAGCCCAGATTATTGTCATCTTTGGAAACCAGGATTAGGATTCTGTTGATCTTAGACACCTCCTCAAGGGGTCCACGAGAGAGAGATGCAATGATATCTGTAGGATGGACAAATTGCGGTTCTTATCATCTATATTGCTTAAGCAGACAGAACTCCGGAAGGCGCTTGAACATTTGGAATATTCACAGGATTCAAACAGGAAATGTTCATTGTTGGACAATAAAATTGATTTCTTTTTCCTCTCTGGAGTTTATGATTCAGTTCCCCATATTCTGGAGAAAACAGTTGGTTTCCATAGCATTGTGGCTCTTTAGGGGGCAGACATATTTCTGTGGGGGAGGTTAGATGAGGATGTTTTCGATATCTGTTAGAAAACATATTCATGATCATTTGTGTTCTGTACAGGGAGATGGTGCCACCGAGTCACTACCTGATACAGATGGGCTGTGGGAAGTTTTTTGCTCCTTGAGGTACTTTTGTACCGAGTCAATGACTTAGGTGGCTGTCGTTGTGAAATTGAACTTCTGTTAGTGCAAACTTATTGGTCTTTGCAAATAAAGTATGCATCAAATGTATGCTTAAGGCTAACTCATACGATGTTCTGATCAACTTTGTAAAATAACCAGTTGTAAGGTGGGGGGTAAAAAAAGAGATTCCTTAGGAAAGGAATGCTATTGGTATAACATTTTGTTTTTCAAAAACAAGTTTCCTCCTTTTCTCCCGATGTAGAGAATTTTGGCTAAGGCATTGCAATTCAAACCATTGGAAATCTCAGGACAAGTGCTCACTGGGATTACCTCTAATCGAAGGGGCCCGGATAATGGCCCTATTGCCTAGATAGCCTTTGGTTGCTGGAAAATGAAGGCCGGGAACTGTAGTATAGGCCTGGGGGGCATAGAAGACAGGTGCTCCAAGATACGTTGTGGTGGGATCATAAACGTGGCCCAAAGAGTAGGTGTATTCTCCTGGCAACACAGCGCTCCTTCCACCTGTGCCCCGGGTGTACCTAACATAACTGTCTTTGTCCACTGGTTTGGCTAGGGTCACTTCAATGGGGGAGCCATCCACGACCTGCGGGAAAGAGCAAGCAGAAGGCAACGTGAGAAGATACCAGGAGTCTACAAAAAAAAAAAAATCAGAGAAAAGTTGTAGTATGACAAAAGTCTGCTTGGGTTTCAAAAATCTTTTGTATCAAAAGGAACTCGTACTAACTTGTTATTACAAATCTGAACAGGATCTAGTGTGGGTCAGACTTCAGTTTGAGAAGAGCCCCAGTCAGAGCAACATAAATGCTGGTAAAACGACAGTAAGAACAAACATCAAATTTACTGTGAAGCTGGGGTGGAACAATGCCCCAGGGAAATCCGCAGTCTTCAGGTGAAGCAGGGACAAGATGACGTGGAAGATGAGGTTGCAGCAGCTGACCGTCTACTTAAATTGTGAGGGGAAAACAATCATTCTTCTTTATGCCTCCATTAAACAGGACAGTGAAGTTAAGCAATGGGCTGCTAACCACAAGGTCAGCAGTTCAAAAGCACCAGCTGCACCTCAGGAGACAGGCAAGACTCTCTACTCCTATAAAGACTTACATACAGCCTGGGTAACCCACCATGCCAGTGAGTCATCACTGACTTGGTTGCAGTGCGTTTGGGTTTTGGAGATGGTGATCAGTAGAAATAATAGCCAACACCATCGAGATTTCAATTGGTTCAGGGTACGGAAACATGAAAGCTGAGCGAACTTTCCACTCCGTGCATGAGCTGAAACTAAGGGGGGAGGTTCCGATGGGAATTTTAAACAAGTAGGATCAAGAACTTGAAGTATTTCCTCGAAGAATTTTCAGAGGAGCTAACACAAGGCTTTCCCAGGAGGATTCTGAAGGCCAAGCACAATCAAAGGTATGGCTATCGAAAGGTGGGGGTCGTCCAGTTAAAGCAAAAGAACCATAGTCAAGAGCAACCATCACGGCAGCAGTCTCTGGGATGCTTAAGGCATTTTGCTATTAGATTTTCTGAAGGGCCAAAGGACAAGAGCACCTGCTTATTCGGAGCGTGTTTTGCGAAAGTTCATCAAGGCCTTAGCAAGGGTGTGAGGAAAACAATAAGGGGATCTTAACTCACTCCTTTGGCATCCCTGCGTGGTGCAAATGTTTAAGTGCTTGATTACTAACCTAAAGTTTGGCAGTTCAAACCCACTCAGAGGCACCATGGGAGACAGGCTTTGTGATCTTCTGAAAGGGCCTAGCCTGGAAACCTGTGGGACAATTCCTTTCTGCGCGTAAGGGATTACCGTGAATTGGTATAAGCTTTAGGGCCACTAACAACAACAGCAACAGCAATTATTAATACCTCAGCTCATGCAGCTTACTCAAGCCTTTCAAGCGGACAGCCAGGTAAAAGTCTTGTCCCTTAGAGCGGCTACATAAGAGAGAGATTTTCAATGAGGAAGAAGAGAAATGTAAGAGAGACCCTGCTCAAGGAAGGGGAAGCTACAAGGTTATTAAATGTCCTTTGAGGAAATAGCACAGGGGCTGTGCCTGCCCTCCGCAGACTTCAGTAGGGAGGCAAAACCACTTAACGCTAGGTCAAGGCTAATTGCCACAAGGCAGAGGCCAGACATATCTCCACCTCCCATCCTTACTTATTCTGTCCCACAGGTTCTCATATACCACGTACAGCCAAAAGAACCAACAAATCTCTCTTGGAAGAAGGACACCAGAATGTTCCTTGGAAGCAAGGATGGTAAGACTTTGTCTCATGTACTTTGGACATGTGATAGGAGGGACTGGTCCTTGGAGAAGGACATCGTGCTGGGTAAAGTCGAGGCGCAGCAAAAAAAAGAGGAAGGCCCTCTGCAAGATGGATTGACCGGGCGGTGGCAGTAGTGAGCTCACACCAACGAATGGCGGTGATGGCAAAGCACCAATGGTGTTGGACATAATCTTGTTATGAGTCGGAACTGAGTAGATGGCACCTAAACAACAACCACTGGGGCTCTCAAACTCCCATGGTCCCTGCCCCTTTAACAACAACAACTTTTTAAAAATTCAGTGCCCCCTGGAGATTCAAAACTTTTGTAGTATAGCTCATAATCCAGGAAAAAATGTTCGGACCTGCTTTTGCAGTCTCCCTGGATCATTGTAGTGTCTCATTTCTCAATGCCCATTTCTCCCCTGGCACTCAACTCTGATAGCTCCGTTCAAAGGCCATGCAGACCTCACAGGCAATATTTATGAATATATGGGTTTATAAAGGAAGCTAGCAGATTACAAAATGACAAGACTATAGTTCTGTTGCCCATAGTTGCTCTTCTTCGCTGTGCTGGCTGACACGTCCCTCGGGTACTCAGCCTGTCAGCCTCATGGCCTCTGCCTCGTTCCAGCGGTCAGGCAGCCCAACTGCGCTCTCCTTACAATGTCAGTGTTAGTCTTCGGCTCCAAATCATGGTGTCCATGCTGTGACGTTGGTGCCTTGAGGGCCTTTGCTGCTCCACCACTTCAGACAGGGATCCCACAGGCCATGTGCACATGGCTCTTCTTTCTTGATGGCCACAAGATTTCCTGTTCCTGTTTCTGAGATGGCTCACCCTTACATTCAGCAGAATGGCAAAACGAATTAATCCGGAGTTAGAGTCCATCGTCCCTATTTACATGCTACCCCCCTTCACTGAGTGAGAGTTACAAAGATTAGAGATATAAGAGTCATATTAAGCAATTTAACTTCACCACACCCTCCTCGACACCCCAGCACACCCTAACAGCCCTTACCATAGGCACTTCCTTGTAAAATAACCTTTGATTTGGAGGAGGCTTGGCTGAAAAGTTCAGAGCTGACAGTTAGAGATGACTGGGGCTGTGTTAGTTTTCTTAAGAATTATTGGATTGATTCCTTTGTGACAGAAGGTTTGGGTATCTCTCGATGTTGAAGAGGGAGCTGCTGTGAGTAGACCTAAGCAGATACTTCAATTCGATGCAATCACTGACATATACAAAAGGCAAACATGATTCTCTGTGTACATTTGATAGGCTTATGTACTTCTTCCAAAGGAACAAGGTGTTAAAGACTATGTAAAAGCATATGTATCTTTTTCCAATAAGAATGTGATGGGCCTTTGTTTTATGTAAATAAATGATAAAAATTTCCTGCAAAATTTCCCTTTGACAACAGTTGAGTATATACTGTTATTACCCAATTTTGTGAGTAATTTAGTGATTCCTGGATCATTAAAATTGGCTAGGCAAATCTCGTGTTGCATGATCACCTTGGCTATTCTAGTCAGCTGCTGGAGCACTGTGCTCTGAGTTTCATGTACCTACTCAACTTTAAGTGGTGGGGTCAGTGCCAAATCAGTTTGATGGGACCCATTGGGTGATAGTCAGAAGCCAGCTAATCTTTGGCTAGTTTGTAGTTATGTTGATCTCATGAGAAGAAATAGACTTGTGTTGAATAAAATAGGTTTTGTATCTTGCAGAAGCTAAAAAAATGAAAACAAAACCCAAACTCACTGCCATCCAATCAAGTCTGACTCAGTGACCCTGGAGGACAAGCGCGAACTGCCCTCCTCGGTTTCCAAGGCCGTAACTCTTTCGGGGAGTCGAAAGTCTGGTCTTTCTCCTCTGGAACAACTGGTGGTCTCAAATTGCCCCTGCTATCATTAGTGACCCAACCTATAACCACTATCGCTCCCGGGCTCCTTTGAGGAAGAGAAGAGGCCCAAATAGATAATTCTGCATCAAGAGACATTTTGAATGGAATGGTTCCTTACTGAAAAGCCAGATTTTAATTTTAATCCATACTTTTCACTTGCCTCTATTTTAAACTCAGTTTGTGACCACGAGGCAGTCATTCAGACAGAATGAGGGAATACTGTAATGTATATAATTGGAAAAGGTATGCATTAGGGTTTAATTATTTCACCACACTTATTCAAGCTAACTGCTGAGCAAATAATCTAAGAAGTTGGACACGATTCAGAAGAAAGCAGCATCAGGACTGGAGAAAAACTCATTCACAACCTGCCAGGTACACACAACCTTATTTGCTGAAAGGAAAGGGGATTCGGAGCATTAAGTGGTGAAGGTCAAAGACTGTAGCCATCAGCATGGATTGTACCCAACATAAAGAAAACAAAAATCTTCGTAACTGGACCAATGGACAATAGCATGATAAACCAAAAATATTGAGGCTGCCAAGGATTTCATTTTACTTGGATTTTCACCAGTGCCCATAAAGCATCCGTTATCAAATGATGTATTGCATTGGGAAAATTGCTAGCAAAAGACTGCTATAAAGCACAAAGATGATCCTTCGAGGGCTAAGGTATGCCTGTCTTCAACCATGGTATTTTCAATTGCCTCGTGTGCGTGCGCAAACGGGATACGGTATAAGAAAGACCACAGAACAATGGATGCCTGTGAACGACGGTGCTGGCGAAGAACATTGAGAGTGCTGTGGATTGCCACAAGAATAAACAAACCTGACTTGGAAAAAGTACAGCTAGTAGATTCCTTAGAAGTGAGAATGTTGAGACTGTATCTCACTCATCAGGAGAGACCAACCCTGGAGAAGGAGCTCATGCTTAGTAATGTGGGGGGTCAGTAAGAAAGAGGACGGCCCTCAATGCGAGACAGATGGACACCCGAGCGGCACCATTCTTGGTATATTGTACATGACCAACTAACAGGGAGAGCCAAACAGAGCACCGAACAACAGGGCAATAGAAACGTCATTTGGTTATTTTGTTAAGTGGTGTGGAATGTTTAAGACCTAAAATAATGTGTGAATAATCTCTTTAGCCCTAAACCAGAAAAATTTCTTGCCCCTAACAGACATCCACAGATTTTTCTAGACTAAATGAGTAATCACAATCAAAGCTCAGTTCATCATGTTTCTCTACTAATAGGCTCCCCTTTCTGACTTCCCTAACAGCCTTTTCTTAGTCTCCATATTGAAAACTTGAGCTACCCTTGACTCATTCTTCTCTTTCACCTATGAGCAAATCAACCATAGGCCCTTGGAGAGCATGCTCCCACATTCTACTCGCACCATAGGGCAAGCACTTATTTATTCCATTTGGATGACTCTAAGAGCCTTTTGACTACTCTACATTCCATCTCCTTTCCGAGTTTATTAAATATCAACTCTTACTAGGTTTACTTTCCTAAATTGTAGAGCTAATCATTATTCTCCTGCACACAAACACAAAAATCTTTCAAGGCTCAATATGCCTATTAAAGTAAGTATAAAATATTGTATATATACACGTATGCCACTTTATAGGTAAACATGATCTTGAGTATATATTATATTGAACTATGTAATATACAAGAGGTCTTCAAAAATTTGTGGAAACACAGAACAAAAAGATAATGAAATTTTCCTATGAATTTTTGAAGCTACCTCATATATGTACATATTGTTGAAAAATATCCAGCTATAAATACAGCTAGCTGTAAAAGTTTGGAAGCTTTCCAATAATTTCCCATGATAACTACTTGGCTTTCACATTTAATTTATGATTGACTATGTCTCCTTGGCAATCATCATGCATCCTCAGGCATGTTTTCAAATTGAGAAAATCTAACTTACACATTATTTTCCCAGTACTAAATTTAATAATCAATGAGGCTGACATAAGTTTTTTTCAGGCATTTAAATAATCATCCCATTTTGTTTTGTCATTTTCATTTCACATTTTGGAGTTAGTCTTATTTTCTCCTGAAGATGCAAACCTCTCAGGAGGCTCCTGAGAGATTTATACACCCCAGGCAGCTTCTTGTCAGAATGACCCAGGCTGGTGATTTTCCTATGCCCTCCAGATTCAGCTCTGACGGGTGTGTGTGTGTGTGTGTGTGTGTGTGAGAGAGAGAGAGAGAGAGAGAGAGAGAGCAGTGAGTTCAGGAAATGTGCTTTCCCGACGCCCTCTCTGAGTGGCCCACTCGGGCTGTGTCCCGTCACTGAGGGCTGCCACTTCTTTCAAAAAGATCTTCTCAACATGATTCTCTCTTCCTCCAAATGTCTAGTTATTTCCACGACCCCTTGTCCTCTTGACTGCAGGAGTTGTGAAAGCTCTGGGGATTCTCTTATAAGTTCACTACCCTCTGCCTTCACCTTTGTGGTCAATCCCTGGGCTATTTCTTGCCTGCTGGGAACCCACTGATTCAAGGCCTGATGGGTAAAGCATTGTGCTCCAACCACATTGAGCTCTCTGCAATCATATTTTGCCTTGTCCCAAATTCTGTGCCTCTAAGACGGTTTCTTCTTTTCCCTGTTTTGTCTTTTGAAATTCTGTCCAATTTCCATGGATTCTTTTAGATATGGTCATTTCACATTCATTAGGATTTTCTGATAAATATAAACATAAAACTTTTTATTTATATTTAAAATCACTTCTGTTGAACCTTCTCATCACTTTTTATGTGTTTTAGGAACACCGGACTTAACTTTGCAAAGATGCTTCCTATTTTTGTTATTCTCCTGCCAGACGTAAAGTCCTTTTTTTGTTAGGTATTTTTGACTTAATTTTTGTATTCTAGACATTATATAGTATGGTGAGTGGCCTATAGAAGTTTTTCAATATTCATTGGATTGATATGTAAATAATACCTCGTGTGTTTTTTTATGGACAAGTAAGTATAAGGATATAGAAAACGGTCTTCCTTGGACTCAAATATTGGCCAAGTGAGAGAGCCTAAGTCTTCCAGAGTTGAGACACCCAACTTTGAATTTCAATACAGAGTGGTAATAACTACCTTCACATCTTTTCTGATCGTCCACCTCCAAAATACAGCACTAAAAATGATAAACTCTTTGCTGTCATAAGAACTAGGAGAAATACCTTTAAGCCATTTCCCCCAACACCTTCTGTCTATAGAAGTTGTGGGAAATGGCTTTTCCTGAATTGGAGAAGCTTAGAGAGAGAATTGAACATCTACGCCAGATCTCCGTAATACTTGTCATCAATTGCGCGCATCTGTCTCCTAGCTGCTGAGATGGGTGTGTCAGAGGTGGAGAAAGCCCCAGGAGACAAACTTGGCTGACTTAAAAAAAAAAGTAGAATAGCCACATCAAAGTTGGATGGAAATTTTATGAGTATATATATATATATATATATATGTTTTTTATTTAGAAGTTATTATTTTACTACATTACCTTCCCATTTAAAGCTTTCATAGCCTTAACTGCATCTTCTCGGTTACTAAAGTGCACGAACGCATAATCTCGGATTTTCTTCACCCTCTCCACAGCACCTAGACAGAGAATGAAAGTAGCCCATTAGAAAACTTGAGATAGGACTGAAAATTATATATATATATATATATAATATATTGGATTGGCTGTTCTTGGACAATTAATGTTGAGATGTTCTCATCAAGAACAATATGTTTGTGTTTAAAATCTATACATTCAACAGAAATTTCTGTTTACAATTTTTAAATAATACCTATATTATACTCATTATAATCAGCATGGACTTGTGTGGTAGGTACTTCACAGATTACAAGATCTTTCAGGACTTGAATAGCATCTCACTTTGCATTTCGCATAATGTAAAATCATGTGACGTAAGGTCCCAGGATGGTCCCAGGAGCTTATAATAAGCTAAGGGTTGGAAGGTTCAACCTAACCAACAGTGCGTTGGAAGAGTGCTGACAGTTGGTTTCTATAAAGATTACAGCCAAGAAATTCCCAGGGAGCAGATTTTCTCCCATAAAGATTTAAAAATGAAAAAACAAGCCTGTTGCCATGGAGTTGATTCTGATCCATACAGGACAGAGTAGGCTTTCTAGGGCTGTAGTAATTATGGAAGCGGATTGCCACATCTTTGGGGAGCCCAAACCATCTCACTGCCATTGAGTCGATTACAACTCATAGTGACCCTATAGGACAGGGTAGAATTGTCCCTGTGGATTTTTAAGACGGTAATGATTTACAGGAGTAGACAGTCTCATCTTTTTTTCTGAGCATCGGTAGGGGCTTTGAACTGCAGACCTTGTGGTTAGCAGCCTAACACCACTATGCCTCTGGGCTCCTCTTAGACATACCCTATCAAAAATTCTTGGGGTGGGACTCAGCAATGTGTTATCAACAAGCCCTCCGGTGATTCTGGTGCCGCTAAATGGCCGTGGGACTGAAATGGGAAGGCCAACAGATGTCCTTAGGCTACTCCAGAGAAGAAATCAGGTTTTCAAGCCCCAGTTTCTGTTCTGTCATTTGCTTCTCAGAGCAGCAATATATTCTCAGGTCAAAAATTGTCAAGCATTTGCAGGGGATCTTCAGGTCCCACTGGAGAGCCAAAGTTTAAAATACAAACGTTGCAAGAAGCATTTTTGCCTGTTTCTCTGCAGGAGTTTTACTCAGCAAATATAAGCTCATAGACGACATTGTTTCCATCAACATATCCCGTTACCTCTGATATTTCCCTCCCGATGAAGCAGATGCTGGCCAGTTAGCCAACTTCTGCAATTCACATTCTTTTGCAGAGTGTGAAAGAGAACACACCTCGTTATAGAGCCCTGAGAGTCCTGCCACCAGCCTGAGGATGTGTCCTGAGAGAGTTGACACACGTTAGGCCCAAGGGGAAAATGTCAAGAGAGAGCGCACCAGAGCGAGCACGCGAACAGGTCTGGCATTCATTATAATTAGCAGCGCCCTGTCTTGCTGTGTCTCAGTCTGCAGACTGGGGTCGCTGGCAGCCAGGGACTGTGCACGGAAGCAGCCTGTAAGTGGTGCGCACGGTTGCCCTTTCCAAAAAGAAGAACAAAAATCCTGCTTCAGTTACATAAAAATAAGAAGTATTATTCATTCTGGGAAGGTTCGGAGTCAACATAGAATGCAGGGCAGTGAGCGGGGATGTTCACGGAGCAGTATTAATCAGCGCTTCGTCTTTGTGTCTACAACTGCATCCATGTTCAGTTTGCAGCTTACATGGCACTTCGGAGCGGGAGTCTCCTTGGGGCCCCTACAGTGGGCTGCCATCGTGGTTCTGAAGCAGCTTCACCTCCTTCTCCCTGTGTATCACGTTTTTTTGTGAGTTCTTTCCACCATGCCCGGCACGTATGAGATCACTTCAGGTGTGACAGCGGAATGATTGAATAGAATAAGGATGGGCCCGGGAAATTCTCAGCTATGGAAAGAGGCTGTTACCGCTGTCTAGAGCCTGGGCCAGCACTATCAGGCCTGTGCACCAGGACACATTAATCCCCCAAGATGCTGTGCTAAACAAAGGCCCTGTAGTCCAAAGGTATGGAAAATAAAGCATTCGATATTTTTTCTTTTGAAATATTTTGAACATTTTATTGTGGTTTGGCTGAAAGTTTACATAGCAAATGGATTCCCTTTCAACAACTTATACACATTCTGTTTTATGGCATTAGTTGTAAATTCCTAAAGCAAGCAACACTCTTTTCATTCCTCCCTGATTTCCCTTTGTCCTTTCCTATCCCTTCCTGCCCTTGAAAACTTATTTTTGAGCAACTGTTGCTCTCTTGGTCTCTTAGGGTTGATCTGAGGAGCACAGAGGAACGTGGTTATTGTTTCATTTATATTGGTTAGCGTAATAATAATCTCCTTGAGTGGGGGTAGTTTCAGATGTGAAGCATGTCTAAGAGCCATAATCTCAGGAGTGGGCACCTATCTCAATCAGACTTTGGGCCTCTACTCAAAACCTCCTGTAACACAAGAACACTTTGTTCTGATAACACTCTTTGATACTCACCTTCCCAACACTACCGCTGAAGACAAAAATGGGTGCATAAGCAAATGTGGTGAAGAGAGCAGATGCCTACCAAAAGATATAATGTCTGGGGTCTTAAAGGCTTGAAGCCATCTAGCAAATAAGCCCACATGGAAGAAGCACACCAGCCTGGGTGATCGTGAGTTGTCTACAGGATCAGGTATCAGGTATCAAAAGAGCCCAAACAAACAACTATATCGATGCCAATGAGGGGGGTTGGAGTAGAGACCCAAAGCCCATCTGTAGACAGTTGGATATCCCCCCACAGAGAGGTTATGAGGAAGGGGTGATTCAATCAAGCAGTATAGGACCGATGAAACACCCAACATTCCTCTAATTCCTGAAGGCTTCCCCCGCCCCACTATCATGGCCCAGTTCTGCCTTACAAATCTGGCTAGACCGGAGAACACACACTGGTACAGATAAGAGCTCTGAACACATGGAATTCAGGGCAGATAAGTCCCTCAGGAACAGTAGTGAGAGTAGCGCTATCATGAGGGTAGGGGGATGGCCAGGGAGGGGGAAGGGAGAAAAAGGGGGAACCAATCACAAGGTTGAAGATATAACACCCCCCACCCCCACCCCTATAAAGGAGACGAATAACAGAATTGTGGGTGAAGGGAGACAACAGACTGTATAAGATACGAAATAATAATAATAACAATATATAATTGAGCAAGAATTCATGAGGGTGGGAGAGTGGGGAAGGGAAGGAAAAAGAGAAGCGTATACCAAGGGCTCAAGTAGAAAATGTTTTGGAAATGATGATGGCAACATATGTACAAATATATGTAATACAATTGATGTGTGGAATGTTCAAAGAACTGTGAGAGCCCCCAATAATATGACTTAAGGGGGAAAAAATTCCTGGACAAAGTGAAAGAAAAATGTAGGAAAACATTGAAAATCATTAAAAAAAATACTGAATTTACTAGTCTGGTTGAGATTGGTGTGTCTTTTCTTTTGGAGACTTTCAAAGTACAATAGAGGTGAATGAAACACTGATAAATTCTACATTAAGAAATCTGGTTAATATTTCTGAGTCTGCTGTGTGTAAACATATTTCCCTCTGTATACCTTTGATCAGTACCCCCTACTAACACTTTATGGAATTAATATTCTGCAGAATGAACTTGGGTAAATGTTTCCTTGGATCATGTTTCTTGAAATGCTTTATGTCCCCCAGCTTCATAGCTTCCATATGGAGAAGAAATAGGTGCGAAGTCAATCTCAAAAACCATGGACAAGGCGAGTAGTAACTAATTGTTCCCCAACCCTCTTTTCCCCTTTCTTTTCCATCCGTTTCACCCAAGTGAGTTTTGGAGAATTCATTGTTGCCTTCTTATATACTTAAAACCATCGCTAAATCCCATTAGACAGGTGATTCTCAACCCAGAGACTTTAAACATTTATTGTTCTAATGTGGGTCCTATTAAACATCAGACAATGCACAAGGCAGTCCTCATAATTAGGAATTATGTAGCTCAAAATTTTAAGGGTCCTTATGACATAATGGGTTACATATTGGGTTGCTAACCTCAAGGTCAGCAGTTTGAAACTACCAGCTGCTCCACAGAGAAAGAGGAGGCTTTCTACTCCCATAAAGAGTGACAGACTTGGCAACGTACAAGACAGGCCTACCCTGATCTATAGGGTCACTAAGAGGTTCCAACGGCAGTGAGTGTGAGTTTTTTAGAAGGTAAGAAATGCTGCATTGGACGTATAGTTGTGACCACGCATTCGTTATTTCAATAGATATTTATTGGCAGCTACGATTGCCCAGGTGCAGAGACAGGCTGGAGAAGACTTCGGGAGCAAAAAGGCCTCATGGAAATGACAGCTTAGTGAATAAGTGAGATGGATGCAGTTCAAACAATCACGTTTGCTGTCGTTAGTTCTTGTCAAGTGGATTTTGACTCCTGAGTGTCAGAGTGTAACTTCCACAGAGTGTACATGACTGCAATCTTAATAGAAGCCGTTTCTCCCACGGTAACTTCAGATTGACCATCTAGCACACACTGTGTGTCACATTGGCCTTACGTAAAACCCACCGCCATCGAGTCGCCTTCCACTCTGAGTGACCATAGCACACAGAAGAGGCTGCCCCACAGCATTCCCGAGACTTTCTAGTGCCGACACAGCTTTCCTGGGGGTGTGGCTGGTGGGTTTGAGCTATCGGTTTTTGGGTTTTGATGTATTTCTTTAGCAGCTGAGTGCTTTAACCACGGTGCAAGCAGGGCTTCTGTGTGCCGCCCACAGACAGAAATATTCACCCAGATAATGCAATATTATAATACTGATAAGTGCTCTGTGAATATCCATGTGTATCCGTATTTTACATTCCCAAAAGAGACATATGGTGTGAGAAGTTTGCATGTAATTATATGTCTAATAAACACAAACCATCCAATTTAAAGGATCTATAAGTACATTTTGAAAAAGTAGTCCTACCTGGTTTAATGTTGTTGAATTCCTTCTCAATCATCTCTTCCGATGTGGACAGCATAAGGTTTCTTACATAAAGGATTTTCACGGAAGACATAGTGTCTTCATCCACCTCTACTTCTGGCTCTGCCCAATCTACTGCAATAGGATGTCCCCATAACTGAATTCTTCCTGTTGAAAAGGATCACACCTGTGATTGATAATGTAGTAATCAGGACGACACTATGTTTATTCATGATAATGGCCTTTTAAATGGAACCGATTGTGGAAGCTTTGAATGGGTAAGAAGACCAATATGAAAGGAGGTGGTCACTGATCATAAGCAACATTCAGAATAAATGTATCTAGAACTATCTGAATAAATGTATTCAGAATAAGTGTGTCTAGAAGTTCAGGTTCCTCATAAGGGAACTGGGGATGTTTACAAAGGAACTGAAGTAAGGCAGCAGAGAGTGTGTTTGGAGCTTGGAGCAGCTCACAAATGATCGTGGTTGAAGAGAGATGAAGGAAGGGAAGAGAAAAAGAAAGCAATGAGAGTCTGACTCCATTAACCATTAAGAAGGTCACAAGGAGATGCGACTGGCATGTGCTGTTATATTGGCCAGCCAGTATCACTGAACTGTCTAAAGACTGGTGCCGACAGAAGCTGGGTAGGACTCAAGCACCCTTGAATTACCTGGGTAGGGCTCAGGTCAACTTTACTCCCTCCTAGTTTTCTGTCAGAAAATGTATAACTTGGAAATCAGAAGAAAAAACAAAGGACCCAAATTAAGAAGACAGGTAAAGAGCCAAGGAAGAGTCTGTAACTGTTCTTGAGAAATGTAACTGTTCTTGAAAGGGTTGGTATCTGTGTTTAAATATACTTTCATATTCCCATATCTACGGTTTATTCAGTGCCTTGCAATGGATTACGAATTTCCCAGGAACTCAGATCCATCTCGCAGTAATCCTGTGGGGAGGGCAATGGCTCTCCCAAGTTTTCAGAAGAAGAAATAATGGCTTCAAGAAGATAGTGTCCAACCTCTCCCCTTTGTTTTGGTTGACTCAGCACCTGTACACACATCAGCCCCTTCACCGAACACCCTCCCCCCCCTTAGTTGCTGTTGAGATGATTCTAGCTCAAGTTTGTCAGAGGAGATCTGTGCTCGGTAGGGTTTTCAGTGGCTGGTGTTTTGGAAGTTAACCAAGACTTGCTTCTTGGTCTTCTAGTGGACTCAGGCCCTCACTGTTCTGATAAACAGCCAAACACGTTAACTACTATCTAGGACACAAACTACTTTTGTGTCCCTACACCTTCCTAGCCACAAGGAGGTGTTGAAAGGGGGTTAGAGTAGATTCAAGTTGTAAATTCGATTAGAAATCTCATTTGTTTCTTATTAGTCTTTTGGAACTCTCTCGATCTTGTAAGCAGTAAAGAGCTTGAAAGAACAAAGTCAGGAATTGTCTGAACTGGATTGGTAAGGGTTTAGTTGCTTAATTATTACACTCGAGAGGCAATTATTTTCAATCAAACACGGAAAAGAAGTCAATGAAAGCATTTGTCACATTGCTGTCTTAAAATCCAGTAGAGAATAGCTAGGACCTAATGAGTTATCTGCTGAGCCTAGCAAGGTTGACTTTTGCTAATTCATTCCATAGCTACTGCCGCCTGCACTACATCTTGGAGGCTAATTTTATGTTACTTCTTATGGTCTTTGTTTATCATGCTTGTTGAAGAGCTCCTCCATCTTTAAAACTAGGCTTTTCAGAGGGTTGTCAATTATGAAATCCTTTGTTGTTATAACTGAATCTCCCGTGGAGACTTAAATAGGTGTGTTTGTCCAAATGGGTAATAGATTTTGCTTTTTGGCCTTATTAGAAATTGAACATGGATAACTTGGATGACTCATGAACCATCATGCCTCTGCTAGCTTGTTTGCAGAGTGAAATTTGGTTAAACCCAATTGAGGCCAACACAAAGGATTATGGGGGAGGGATGTTTCCTTAGAGCAGTGAGTCTCAACCTGTGGCTTGTGAGCCCTTTGGGGGTTGACCGACCCTTTCAAAGGGGTCGCCCAATTCATAACAGTAGCAAAATCACAGTTATGAAGTAGCAGCAAAAATAACTTCATGGTTGGGAGTCACTACAACATGAAGAACTGTATTAAAGGGTCACGGCATTAGGAAGGAAGGTTGAGAACCACTACATTGGAGCATGATGAAGGTGGGTGGTGGATGGGGAGAGTGAGTTAGCACCCATAATCTAGATCCAAGACAAGGAAGCCATAGGAAAACCTAGGCTGTTGGGTACAAGAATACTAAGTGTTTGAGAATTTCTGAGGCCTAGTGTGGTAGTTACATAACCTGTTGTCAATTTGAGGCTTAAGAGTGAAGGGATGGAGTCTAGCCTGTCCTTCAGATCGCAGCTTGGTGACCTCATTTGGAGGTGCTAAGGAGATAAATAGCCCCTTGGAGGCAGGACACACACTCACTTCCTGAGAGACTCTACTGACAAGACACGTGGATCATGCTGATGGCAGCCAGAGCCCTGGACCTGGAGGAGGCACGTGGAGACACATGCCAGTGCTGAGATCCTTCCCACATCACTGGATCCACAAGACGATCCACCCTCTGGCCTGTGATCCTCCTGCACTCAGCATCATTACATGTGTTTCATGAGTCTGAAGAGGAATTTATAGATTGGTATTGGACATATGGGCTAATATCAGACTTATGGTCTTAATCTGGACTGGGCTAGGATGTTTTCTCAATATTCAATTGCTCTTGTATATAATGTTCTTTCTTATACACATATGAATGGCTATGAATTTGTTTCTCTAGTCTACCCAGACTAACACACCCAGCTACTCAGCCTTGTTCCACCTTGTCAATGCAAGTTATGTAGACATAAATTCTCTGTGTGGGCTAGCATGCTATGTTCTTTGAAGAGGTAGAGAAGTTTATGGGAGGCTCAAACTCCTAAGAAACTCTGGGGGCTTGTATCCTTTTGTTGACATTCTCTCCACCCCCGGTATTATTGTACATATTGTTTTCATAGGTGATAAATGGCTGCCTCATTTGAGGGTGACAAGTGTTCACTGCTGGCTCGAAGGAGGTGATAGCTTGAAAGTAATAAATGAGCAGAGAGAAGTGGGAGGGGCTTTCTAGTAAGCTGTGCAGTATAAGAAATGAAGGACACAGAAATGAACATGCTGGTGTCCAGGACCTTGAGGCATGCAACTTGATAAGCAGGAGAGTTTTTTTACTGAGAAATAGAAGGTAGCAAATACTGTTGTAAAGAATTTCCATGATGACTGATCTTGAATGATGGGCTCAGAGACGTAATCTTTAGCTCTGAGACAGAAAAGAGGCAGTGAACATTTTTGAACAGACGGATGAGTGACATCATGTAGACTTCTAGCAGGTAAAGATTGGATCCTAATATTTGCAAGAACTTTTTGAAAAGATGACATGATATTTTGGAAATCTGAATCTGGTGATAATACTCACCATGGCCCAGGCAGAATATGGGGTGTATAAAAGAGGCAGAGGTGGGAGAACCTTGAGGAGACCTTGAAAAATAATCTAGCGAGAATACATGTTTAGCCCACAGGGGTGATCTGAGGACAGGATGTGCATAGGGACTTTTCACTGGCAGAATTGCTGCGATTGAAGGAGAGAGAAGAGTTAAAGAAGATAGCAACGTGTTAATAAATCTGGGTGCTGCGAGCAAGTTCCCTTCCTGGAACTTTAGTGATTCTATGGGTCTGCAAGTCATAGGACTTGGCCATTGGTTAGAGAAGAATGAAGAAGCAGTGGATAAAGTTTCAACACAAAAAGTGGCCACCTCTCTAACAGAGTCAGTATTTTCGAAGCTCTCTCATATATTTACTTTGAACTAATTTCATGCAAACATTATTTTAAAATATCCCCTAAACCCAGACTTCATCTCCCAATTTTGAAAATCTCTTCAGAGCTAAGCCTACTTCCATTGGCAAGTTTCGGTTTTAAGAACATGCTTGTTTTTCATTCTGGTGCCTATTGTGAATTATTTCATGAGAAGATTTAATAGCAATGGGTGGGCCGAATCTATCATTATTGAACTTCTCTTAGAATTTTAATATCATGTTGAGTTGAGAAAAGATGATCTCAAAAGATGTGTGGAAATCCGAACCCTGTTGTCTGCAAATGTGGTCTTATTTGGAAAAAGGGTCTTTGTAGATGTAATTGAGGATCTCAAAATAAGAAAATGCTTGATTACTTCTGTGAGCCTTAAAATTAGTGGCTAATGGCTTGGTAAACAGTGAGGCAATGGCAAATTAGACAGAAGAGAACACACGGAGAAGATCCTAGAGGACTGAGCAGAGATTGGAGCTTTGCTACCACAAACTAAGTGATGCCCATGTCTGCCAGAGCTGGAAGAGGCAAGGAAAGATTCTTTCCTTGGGTCTTAGGAGAAAGCATGATCTTGCCAGCATCTTGATCAGGGGCCCCTGGCCTCCAAAACTGTGAGAGAAAATCTCTGTTGTCTTAAATTTGTGATCTATTTCTACAGTTCTAGAAAATTAATACTAATACTTAACTTTGTGTAAGTTTTAGTGACTATTTTAGAAGTTGACAACTTTAAGACAACTCCCCCTCCACCCCCTAAGTTGATCTGATACTGACTGGGACTGTATCTTGCTGGAATATTTCTCACTCAGGAATTGATGGTTATTGCCCAAATGGAACTTATTCTACGGGCGTAGCACCTAAGAAAGGTGCTTTTCAAAGGAGAGATATTATTTCTGTTCCTCCATGTTAGAAAGAAATTATTAGGTACTTGGGAGTCATAAGAAAGTATGTTATATCATAGTCATTGGGATAATGTATCACTCGGAGGTTTCTTATTACTTTGTTATCATAGCTCGTGTGCCTTATTTCAAATAAGCATAATAACAAAATCTGTATGCAAAGCTTAGTGTAATTTAGAGAAGATAATCGCTTTCAGGATCCATTGTAATGTTGCTGTAGCTGAAAGTATGTTAAGGGAATATGGAAGCCCTGCAATACTCTGGTCCAAATGTAAACTAGTTTGTGATGGTTTTTTGTGCCAAAACAGCACCTATAGCAACATATGGATAAGTGTGCATGATACAGGCATCAAAGAACAAAAAATCATATCATGTGTGCTCACCTCCATGATACAAT